TATTACTATTTTTTATTTTTGCTTTTTTTTTAAATCTTCTCTCCATCTTTCTGGGGCCCCTCTAACACCCCCTGGCGGCCGCCCAGGGGGCCGCGGCCCACACTTTGAAAAACACGATCTTGCACTCATGACCACATGCTAATGTAACATTTGCACATGCGTTAGTTTATTCACCAGCTGACAAATCTCAGTCATTTCAAAACAGTAGAATTCAAACATGGGCCACACAAAAAGTGTTTTATTATTGTCTTTATTACTATTAGTGTACAAACCAGATTCCAAAAAAGTTGGGACACTAAACAAATTGTGAATAAAAACTGAATGCAATGATGTGGAGGTGCCAACATCTAATATTTTATTCAGAATAGAACACAAATCACAGATCAAAAGTTTAAACTGAGAGAATGTATCATTTTAAGGGAAAAATCTGTTGTTTCCAAATTTCATGGCGTCAACAAATCCCAAAAAAGTTGGGACAAGTCCATTTTTACCACCGTGTGGCATCCCCCCTTCTTCTTACAACACTCAACAGACGTCTGGGGACAGAGGAGACCAGTTTCTCAAGTTTAGAAATAGGAATGCTCTCCCATTCATGTCTAATACAGGCCTCTAACTGTTCAATCATCTTGGGCCTTCTTTGTCGCCCCTTCCTCTTTATGATGCGCCAAATGTTCTCTATAGGTGAAAGATCTGGACTGCAGGCTGGACATTTCAGTACCCGGATCCTTCTCCTACGTAGCCATGATGTTGTGATTGCTGCAGAATGTGGTCTGGCATTATCATGTTGAAAAATGCAGGGTCTTCTCTGAAAGAGATGACTTCTAGATGGGAGCATATGTTGTTCTAGAACCTGAACATAGTTCTCTGCATTAATGGTGCCTTTCCAGACATGCAAGCTGCCCATGCCACAAGCGCTCATGCAACCCCATACCATCAGTGATGCAGGCTTCTGAACAGAACGTTGATAACAACTTGGGCTATCCTTGTCCTCTCTGGTCCGGATGACATGGCGTCCCAGTGTTCCATAAAGAACTTCAAATTGTGACTCATCTGACCACAGAACAGTCTTCCATTTTGCCACACTCCATTTTAAATGACCCCTGGCCCAGTGCAAACGTCTGAGCTTGTGGAGCTTGCTTAGAAATGGCTTCCTCTTTGCACTGTAGAGTTTCAGCTGGCAACGGCGGATGGCACGGTGGATTGTGTTCACTGACGATGCTTTCTGGAAGTAATCCTGAGCCCATTCTGTTATTTCCTTGACAGTGGCATTCCTGTTTGAGGTGCAGTGACGTTTAAGGGTCCGGAGATCACGAGCATCCAGTAGAGTTTTACGGCCTTGACCCTTACGCACAGCGATTGTTCCAGATTCTCTGAATCTTTTGATGATGTTATGCACGGTTGATGATGATAACTTAAAAGTCTTTGCTATTTTACGCTGGGTAACACCATTCTGGTATTGCTGCACCATCTTTCTGTGCAACAATGGTGGAATTGGTGATCCTCTTACCATCTTGGCTTCTGAGAGACACTGACACTCTGAGAAGCTCTTTTTATACCCAATCATGTTGTCAATTGACCTAATTAGTGTTAATTGGTCTTCCAGCTGTTTGTTATATGCTCAATTTCCTTTTTCCAGCCACTTATTGCTACTTGTCCCAACTTTTTTGGGATTTGTTGACAATGTGAAATTTTGAATCAACATATTTTTCCTTTAAAACGTTACATTTACTCAGATTAAACTTTTGATCCGTCATCTATGTTATATTACGAATAAAATATTGACATTTGCCATCTCCACATCATTGCATTCAGTTTTTATTCACAATTTGTTTAGTGTCCCAACTTTTTTGGAATCCGGTTTGTTTTTTTACACTCGTGTCTTGCATCCATCAGGAGCTGCTGCAGCACCCGTTGCACCCCCACTTCACACAGCCTTGACCTGAGATGACTTCTGATGTGAACAAATGCTAGAACACTTGAACTTGAACTGAAATAGGATTTGGGAAACTCTGGTTCTGGTTTTTCCATTAACCACCACCATGCTCTGGTCGGACTGTTGGACAAGTCAAAACCAAAAAAAAAGAAAAAAGTAGGGTTTCAAACTTTTGAAGACATTAAATATATTATAGCTTTAGCTTGTGGAAAACTGACAACATAACGTTCATTACAGTCCTGACCCTCATCAGTTTGTCACATCAGTTCTACTCAAGACTCCTCTGTCACAAGATTTTATTTGGTTTACAGTATAATTTATTAATACATTTTCATTTTGCATTGTAGCAAAAAAAAAGCATGTTCTATAATTGTCACATTTATTAACTTTAAACAGATCTGGCAGATGTAAGGGAGCAGTGAAGATCACAAGTGTTGCCTGAGACGTGCTACCATCTAGAGGAGAAACTGACAAACTGTGTTCAAACAGCCCTGAAGCTCAATAATTCATTCATTTATTCTTTATTTATACATGTATAATAATCCAATTCAGTTTATTTATATAGCACCAAGTCACAACAGAAGTCATCTCAGGGCACTGAACAGAAACATCCATTCAGCTGAAACCAGAAGTTTACATACACCATTTAAAAAGACTTTTTTTCACACCGATGTGAAATCAGAATAAACTTTTCCAGTTTTAGATAAATTAGGATTAAAAACATTGTTTCTATTTACAAAATGCCAGAATAATGAGAGAGAGAATTTTTTACAACAATTTTTATTACTTTCTTCAAAGTCAGAAGTTTAAATACACGTCATTAGTATTTGGTACGATTGTTCTTGAACTGCATGACTTGGATCAAACGTTGTGGATCTCCTTCCTCGAGCTTCTCACAATAGTTGGCAGGAATTTTGTCTCATTCCTCCTGACAGAACTGGTGGAACTGGGCCATGTTTGGAGGTCTTTGTGATGGCCACTCCAAAACATTGACTTTGTTCTCCTTGAGCCACTCTGGAACCAGTTTGCCAGTATGCTTCAGGTCATGGTCCATTTGAAGACCCAAGCTTTAACTTCCTGCTGATGTCTTGAGATGTTGCTTCAGTATTTCCACATATTGTTCTCTCCTCATGATGTCATCTATTCTGTGAAGTGCACCAGTCCCTCCTGAAGCAAAACAACCCCTCAACATGATGCTGCCACCCCCGTGTTTCACAGTCTGGATGGTGTTCTCAGGGTTTGTCCTCCAAACAGTTCAGTTTTAGTTTCTTCAGACCACAGGACATGTCTCCAGAAGTTCAGGTCTTTGTCCCTGTGTGCATTAACAAACATTAATCTGTTTTTATGTTTCTTTTGAAGTCATGTCTTCTTCCTGCAGAGTGACCTTCAGCTCATGTCCACACAGTTTCACTGTGGATGATGACAGAGTCTTAGCTTCAGCCAGCATCTTCACCAGGTCTTTTCTCTTGTTCTTGGGTTGATCTGCACATTTCAGACCAAAACACGTTCATCTGTGGGACACAGAACCCGTCTCCTTCCTGAGCCGTATGATGGCTGGACATTCCCATCTTGTTTGTACTGGTGTATAACTGTTTGTACAGATGAACGAGGCACCTTCAAACATCTGGACATTGAACCCAAGGATGAACCAGACTTGTGCAAGTCCACAGTTCTTCCTGACATGTCGGCTGATTTATTTTGACTTTCCCACCATGTTGCACAAAGAAGCAGAGTGTTTCAGGTGTTCCTTTACATCCACAGGTGCGTCTCTAATGGACTCAGATGTTATCAATGAACCTATCAGAAGCTTCCAAAGACATGACGTCAAATAGAAAAATAAGATTAAGATGGAGCTAGGTTGTTGAGGGCTTTGTAGGTTAGAAGATTTTGAATTTTTATTTGAATTTTGAATAAATAAAACCTTCTCATTGAGATGTTATTTATAAGACTGAGTTTGCTGCATCTCCTCAGGCTGAAGAAGTCTTTTGGATAAAAGACGAAATGTTTCAAAGAAGAATCCATGCAGAAGACCTGACTCAACTTTGTTGATGCATCCAAATACATGTGGACGGTGGAGCTGCCACTCACTTTAGGGGTACTTCACAATTTTTAAGAACAATTTTAAAAACGGTTAAAAAAAGTTGAAGGTTTTGTTGATACATCCTGTACACCAGCATGTTGCTATTCTCCCACATGGTAAAAACTGTCACACCACAAGGGTACATTCAACAGCACTGCATCTTTGATCAATGCAAACACGTAAGAGCTGTGCGCTGCTGGTGCCACTTCAAGTCCACACCAGCTCCTTACAACAGGAGCCTTTAACAGAAGCCGAGGGGCAGTGACTTGTCTCGAAGCATCAGCTGTTAAATATTTAAGTGTGTGTGTGTGTGTGTGTGTGTGTGCTGCTGACATCTGCACACACATCACTCTGCTTTGCACATGGCATTTTCATTTACTTGGAATAGGTCTCACCAGTCCATTTTTCTGTACAATTTTGGAGGCGTCTCTAAAAAGTATGTACACGTGAAAATGCTGAATCGTGAATCTCCTTCGAGACTTCTCATTAAGAGGGTGCATCTTTTCATTTGCAGAAACTACTTTGAAGATGCAACATAGGCTTTATTTCAAAAACACAGAAAATCAGGGGCTGAATATCTAAAAATACAGGTTTTCTTCAATAATTTGTCTATCTTGCTCAGTTTCCTTCAACTCTGACCAGTTTTATAGTCCCCGCTGAAGAGAACCCTCCCACAGCATGATGCTGCCACCACCATGCTTCACTATGGGGACAGTGCTATGACTCATCTGACCACATAGATGTTACTTAACTGATGCTTTTAAAGCCAAAGGGGATGAATACATGCGCTCACGACTTCTTAGTTTTTAAAACAAGTTCACCTGTATTTAAAATCTGGAGTGTTTTGTGGAGGTCCATAATAAAAACTCAAAATTTATTCTAAATATGATGGAGGGGTGAATCCTGTTGCAGCTCACTGAACGAGCTGCAGCTGCTCTCTCACACACACACACACACACACACACACAAATACTCAGAGAAACGAGCTTAAGATGAATCATTTTATTTTGAAAACTGCTTGCACACACATAATGGAAAGTTTATTCTTCCTGCTGCTGGAGTTCACCCGTGGCTCCGTCACCTTCTTCATGACGGTGACTCCAAACCAAAGTGCAGGTGCGTCGTGTTCACCTGCAGCGTTTAGTTTGTGTTGTAAAGTCAGCAGAGTTTTACTCTGCCATGATTTAAACCATCGGTTCCTAAACCTGTTAATGTCCAACTAATGATCCCCGGCAGAAACACACAAGTGTTCAGGCCAGTTGAACAAACCTCCACCTGTACCTACAACCAGTTTACCTCCAACCCTGGAGAACCACGCTGCTCATCTCTTGGGACAGTTACAGAACAAATGTGTCATTTTTACGTGTAATTTCTGTAGATGTGACTTGAACCACTCAGTGTGTTGAAAATTGTGGGACTTTCAAGAGTTGGAAACTTTCCATGAGAATTAACAGAAACTTATGGGAATAAACCTTCAATCCAGATTACTAAAACTCAGCCCTTTACAAGGATTTGATGTACAGTTGCAGAATATATTTGAACACAGACTGGACTAAATGGTTTCAAGCAGGGACACGAGTGGATCTATGCTGTTCCTCCAACACGTGCACAGATTTCTAGAAACCCGGACCATATTTCTGAGCTTTGAGCATAAAACTAGTGAAGCTAAACATCCGAGCTCAAGGAGCAACATAAAGTGAAGCTTTGCTGATAGTAATGGGTAAAAACATTGCTGTGATGTCAACGCATCATCCAAATTAATTTTATCATCTAATCTCACGTTGTTGCGTCTTCCAGGTCGTAGCGTGACAAACATTTCTTTGATTTTATCCCAACATTCGTGCACGTTCACAAAAATGAGGAAGGAAAAGGTCAGAATTTGGTACAGATTTTAAGCTTCTCAGCTTCACTTCACATGGAAAGTTTCTGCAAACCGACCACCCCTTTGCAACACTAGACTTCTTTAGTTTCCTGTGTGACCCTTAAAAAGGCAACAAGAGCAGACAGCAGAGTCCAAACAGGACCGTCGTTAACAGCAGGGAACATGTTTCACTGAAATGTTTAGGGAAGTCCTTTAAACGTTCTGAAACACGAGGACCGACATTAACACCAAGTTGACTGAAAGGTGTCTACATGTAGATCTGTGAGGCAGAAATGTGTATAAAACGAGTAGATGTTACCGACGTGCCCGTAAGGAAGGCGGCAAATTCCCACATCTGTGTAAAATAGCTCATTTATGAGAACGGACCAGAACTTGAGATAATAAAGTTACAGGAAAAACCCTAAAGATTCTTGTTTTATTCAAATCATGAGGAAGAAAGTACTGAGCAGCACGTTAAACTGTAGATGAAATTAGAAACTGAGCTCATTTTAACCCTCCAAACGATTAGAACAGTTTGTTTTTGTCCTAATCTTAACTTATAAAACGCTAAAGGAAACGTGTAATACCAGAGAAGTCCTTGCTGTAATCCCCGTCTAGAAAACCTAAATATAAACCTTGTAAAATCGCACAAATCAAAAGGAATGGAAGATTTAGCAGCTTTAAAGTTAAAACCCTGGCACGTGATGAAAGTGGAGGCTGTAAAGCACTTCTGCTCCTGAAGCTCGACTCAATCTGAAGAACGACCAAAGGCACCCTAAATGTTGCATTCCTCTTCGCTTTGCTTCACCCGTTCGTCTGAATAGAAAAGTTCCTCCGTTGAAGTGAAAGTCTCAGGAGTCTGATCCCTGATCATGGCGGTCCTCTTCCTGCTCCCCTTCACATCATCTCCATCCCTCCACGACTGACGTGCACGTCTTCCGGTGAGGTATTAGCGTGCTCCTTTGGCCTCTTCGGCTTCTTTCTCTGACAGAAAAAAAGAAAAACATTAAAGTCGTAAATAATTAAACTTCTCAGACGACTTCAGAAGTTTGCTGACAGGAACTGAAGTTCTTCAGAGAAACTCTTGATAGAAGCAGTAAAAATCCTGAGCTGCTCCTCGTGTTTCACTTTCAAAACTGCTGGGACATCATCAGTGTCCCTCTAACATTAGACAAGGAGGGCCCGCTCTACAGAACACACGTGCTAGCTAAAAGCTACAGGGATGGTGCTCCATGTCCCTCACGCTGAGCCGTTTCCTTCACCCCCGTCGACAACTGTCGGCACACACAACAGACACGTCTCCGTCCAGTAAAACTAATAAGCAGCTCACTTTCTGCTGCACGAGAAAAGAAAAGCACATTTCTTACAGAACGCCATCATTTTCTACAAAGTAGATTAGAAGGAAGATTTTGAATTCTATTCTGGATTTGACAGGGAGCCAATGGAGAGAAGATAAAACTGGAGAGACATGATCTCTCCTACTAACTCCAGTTAAAACTCTGGCAGCAGCATTTTGGATCAGGTGAAGACTTGATATAAAATATGAATTTGAAAATATCTCATGAACCACTGAAGGGAATTGAATGAAACTTACATTGGAAATCTACAATTCATTCACTTTTGGGGTCAACCCAATTCAAGATGACCATTACAGCTTATAAATATTATCAAGCACAATATTTTACCATTTTATTGTCCTTTAACTTTATGGCCATTTGTGTTCCTTAAGAGACAAACTGACCACCTTATTTAACTGCTTATTACATTACAGGCCACTTCACTTCCCATTTTTAAATCTCTTAAAAAAACACCTGTTTTCACTGATTTTTAACTTTTAGTATTTTATTGTTTTGCGTTTGTTTTTCTTTTGATGCTTTAAATGTTTTTTCTTTAAATTACTGCCATTGTTTTTTATTGGTAACAACTGCTGTTTTAAAATGTGCTTTATAAATATATTGGACTTGTTTAAAAATAGTATTTTTAAATACGTTTTACACAAACTATTCAATCTTTTAGAGCCATCTCAGCCTGAAATATGACTTAAAAAAAAAAAAAAAACTTAAATTTTTAATTCTTTAGGGGTTTTGCTTTTACAATAATGTCAAATTTCTATATTTTAATTGACAAAATATTTTGTATATTTTATTCCAAAAAAATAAAAAATAAGCACTTTCCCCATTAGTACCCTAAGATTTTTATTTTTTACAACTTTCAGTCTGGAGTTTTGCGAGGACCTCCGGGTCTCTAGAGCTGGCAGTGGAAAATAACGCCTCGTTTTCAGTCAAACTCGTGAGTGGGGGGTTATTAATAATTAATTTCTTTAACTACTCGTTGACAACGCTAGTTGCAGATTTAATTCCTCTTACTGAGCCAGATGTACCAGCGAGCTGCAGAGCGCCCAAGGACCAATGTAACGGTTAAGTGAAATCAAGGTTTTGGGGTGCCAGCCAGGTCTCTCTCCTGACAGACAAGAGGTTTCATTTTATACGTTTACCCTTGAACAAAGGATGTGTTTGATTAACACCCTCAACATTAAATGGAAAAAACCCAACAACCACAAAATTTCTCAACAAGTTTCAAATGTATTTACCCACAGACACAAAAAATAATACTTCATACAATAATAATCGATCCTTTAACGTAAAGAGGGACATGGTTGGAGCATCATTCAATCACTTAGTTTCAGTCCCAAACACTGCACAGAGGCACAACCAGCACGGTGCTCAGCGGCACCCAGAGTTCAGCAACCTGCAGCCGCAGATATCAACAAGTTGGGAATGTATTTACACACAAATAAACAATAGTTCATCCAATAATAATCAGTTATTTAACTTAAAGAAGAACGTGGCTCGAGCGATAGTCAATTAATTGAAGTTCCAGTGCTCGGTGGCACACAAAGTTTAACAACCTGCAGCAGCAGCCGGTTGATTTGTTTCACTCAAGCTACCGATGCTTGGGAGAGACAAAGAGAAACGCTTCTGTTGCGAGCCAGACGAGCCCTCAGGTGATCCAAGATCAAGTAGTCCGATGGTTCCAGGCGAGCTGTCAGAAGACGCACCCCTCGCTGCTCTGCCGCGCGTCATTTCACAACTCTCAAAAAGGGCGTTTCAGCTGGAAACATCTGGACTTGGCTGCCAGCGTGTCGGACAATGATTGCTCCAAAAAACAAATGGGTGGATTAATTTTTATGTGCAGAATATTTATGGGTGAGTGATCGGGCTGTCACACCAACAGCAGTCTGCCATCAGTCACTCTATACCACAGGCGTCGCAACCATTTTATGTGAAGGGGACATGTCCCCCCCCCACACACACACACACACTTACTATGAAACATTAGTTCAGGCGGTGCAGTTTCTCTTTCTTCGTGAACGAATCCATTCCACTTGATTAATAGGAGAATGCTCAGGACACTAAAACTCCACTCCAGGTTTTCCTGGTTACCTCCAACTCTAAACAGCCGCCTGCTGCTTGCACAGTTTCTGTGCGTCTCGCATCACATTCAGTTTCATAACGGAGTACTGCGTGTAGAACTTTGAGGAAAGAGATTAATTTAATACAATTTGGAATAAGCCGTAACATAAAATGTGGAAAGTGAAGCTCTGTGAAAACTTCCCGGATGCTCATCAACTACACAACTAATAAATTGTTTGATTTCCACTTTTGTGAACAGGTTCCCTGACGTGTGTGTGATTCTTGCTGTTCTCTTTCACCTTTCCTGAGTTCCTCTCTCTTCTTGGAAGCTTCTTCTCTTTGTTTTTTGATGATAGCCAGTCGGGCCAAGTCCGCCCTGGCCTGCTCGGTCTTGCCCTCCAGATGGAGCTTCATGTAGCGTTCCTTTGACTTCTGCTTCTCTATCTCCTCTCTGAACGACAGATAAAGAAGGAAAACTTTAAAAAGTTAAAACCTCCTTAGAAGAGGGACAAACATAGAAATATTGATTCTTGGGGAGACGCTCACCTCTCTCTGCGAGACAGCTCTCTGGGAGCAGCGACGTCGACTTCAGCCACCTTCTTGCTCTTCTGGGAAACACGGTTGGGATTTTCAATCTCTATGAGCCCCTCCACTCCACTCCTTTTCTTTCTCTGCCATTAAAAGAAAACTCTCAGCCTTAATCACCAGTTGAAGCCAATCACAGGTAATTACAAACTTCTGCCAAGCTTAGCTTTGTCCTTGAAATTAATTTTTGTCTCCTTAGTTGTTCTCTTTATAATATTTACCAGCTCACAGTTAAACAGCACAATACTACCACACGCCTCACTGCTAGAAAAATATCTGGAAGACATTTGTTGCCCAAAGCCAAATATAATCAGTGCTTTAGGTGGCGAAACACGCCAAAGCAAAGTATTTGTTAGAGATATTTGATGCGATTTCTGTGGAAATAGCTGAGAAGGCATTTTCAAAAATACTCAGATAATTTAATAAAGCATTGAACATCAGCCACAAAATTCAATAAAATACAAAAAGTACAAGATGCTGAGGCAGCAAAAAGGAGCCACGGCTAAATCTAGACATAACTGAGATTGTAGAAAGATGAACTCTGGGACCATTATCAAACAAACACACTGATAACACGTTACCAGTCGGTTCCAGAGAAAATCTAAGTTGCTTTTGGCCACGCACCGCTTTCCATGAACCTAATGGACGATGTGTTGTTTTAACATCTGAATAAGCAAATTATTTACAATCTCAAATCTGTTTGGTGAAGGATGATAGATAGGAGGTGCATTAAATACGACAGAGCGTTTTATTTTTACTAGTTGTTCATAACACAGGCTCTGTTTAGCTTCAATGTTTAGCTCCTGAAGGTACTTTTGTTTTTTGACAGCTACAGCCAGGTCATACTTTCAGAACGAGTAAACCTTAAGATTAGGTTGAAACCAACAGGGAATTTTATTGCATTTCTTTTAAATCACCCTGCTGAGCTCATTTTCATTGAACCATGACTCACTCTCCATCATCGTCAGCACATGGCTAAAGCTACTTTCTTACGGTACTTTACTTATTTTTGGCTGAGTTTACATCAACAAAACAACTACCGTATTTTTCGCCTTATAAGTCACAGTTTTTTGCATAATTTACAAGCCCTGCAACTTATAGGCAGAAGCGACATATTTATGGATTTTTTCCCATGTTTATAAACCAATTTTTGGCTGAGACATGACCGTTTTCATTCATTCTGACGAAGAAAAAAAAAAACATTGGACAGTAACATTTTCAGCCACTAGATGGCAGCAGAGTAGTAGTAGTAGCAGTATGGTATGCCTTTGTATCATGTAATAGGTAAACGTGACTATAATCACAAATTCAAAAAAGTTCAATACAAAAACAACTGGACTTTTATTTATTATACTTAATTGTTTTTTCTTGAATTTTTATGAATTTAACATGTCCTGGATGAAAGAGAATTTTCACCAGATGTTAATGACACAATCGGCCTGCCGTATTACCCCCACCTTCGTTCTGCTTGCTGCTTGGAACCGTTAAAACAGCTACACCGTCCCAGAAATGCAGCTAATTTGACCATTAAAGTGCATTTATTAAGCAAACGTTAGACTGAGACACAACTTTACTATAATTTTGCACAAACAAATAATTGTTTTTAAGTGTTAATCTTGTTAAATTCTTGTTAAAATCCTCACGTGCACGCTCTCGTGGCCGCCATTTGGCAGCCCATTGATTTCTGGCACAACACCGGCCCACATTTCCGGGCGGTCAGTGGTGACGCATAATAAATGCAACTTATATGGCGAGACGACATATTTATGAATTTTTCCACTTTATTAGACCAATATGGACTGATGCAACTTATAGGGCGGAGCGACGTGTACGGCGGAAAATACGGTACTCATTTTCCCTTTAACTGGCAGTAAATTGTACCTTCTTTCCTAATTATGCAAGTTTATTTTATTGATGGGGCTGTAGAAAAAGCAATTTATGAAAAACAGTTTGTTATAATTTGTGTGTCCTGTAACCTCTCAGATATGTGCTTTTGATGTGATATGTGACTTTTCGTCACTGGATCGATGTACAATTCTTACCATACACATTGAGAGGCATTTAAAAAATTAAAAAATAAATCAAGAAGGGGTCACTTTTCTTATAAAATGACAGACAAATAAAAACACCTAAACCCAATCCTTAAAAAAAAACATTATTATAATGTAGAAACTTTGTATTTCTTCCACAATCACTGAGATTTAACTGAGAAATGTTTTACAAAGTTGTTAAAATGTTTTTGGCGTCACTCACGTCAGATTCCTCATCACTGCTGCTCTCCTCCTCAGACTCGTCAGAGCTCTCCTTCTCAGCACCAGCATTTGCCTCCTGTTAAAACACAGACAGTCACATGACGGGACCAGGACTGAAGGGAACTCTGCGTCGTTCAAATCGTGCACTCACCTTCTCCCTCTGGGCTCTCATCTGCCGGTCGATTTCCTCTGGGTTGCTGAACTGTTTCCCTCGGCCCTTGTGACCCTTTTTTCCTGCAACACAATTTGTTTGAGTCAATCAGCTGCAGCAGCGCTCGGCGTGTTTAGAAGCAAACCAGGAAACAGCAACGTTCACACTGTAGGTCTTAATGCTTAATTCAGATTTCTGCTCAGATAACTTTGTCGTGGTCGTTCAGATTGCATTTTAAATGTGACCTCCACCACCAGACACCAGTGTGAAGAGTTAGTGCTTTTAAATTGACACACAAGAGACGTGACATCACACGCAGGGCACTGTTCACTGAAGTAAAACAGGATGCTACACACGTTAGCATGCGAGTTCTGAAGTTATAAAATCAGAAAAATTAAAATTGTTAATATCTACCATACTTTCTTGTCCAGTGTTTACATTCGATCTAGCCGTTTTCAAGCTACACTGATGCAGAATAGCATTTCTGGAATGGGAGCTCCGTAATGGAGAGGAAAATTAAATCATCAATCCCGTCAAGCTAGTTTAATAAGATTCAACACAACGGTGTTGCCCTGATGCATGCTCAATAATCCTGTAACAACGGTGTTACTTTTTTTTTTTCTTCTTTCAGCTGCTCCCTTCCTCAGAGGTCGACACAGCGATATTGATCCAAGCTGCGAAAGTGGTCAGTGGTTGGTGCTGCACCTTACTAATTCTGAGGCTGTTGGTTTGAGCCCTGGTTGTGTCAGGAAGGGCATCATCCAAAAAACTAAAAAATTTTTGTGCCAAATCCACCACTCAAGATCATTCACTGTGATGACCCCTTCAGAAAGGGGTAGCCAAAAGAAAACATTAATCCAGAGAGATTTTTTTTTTACCAGAATATTGTAACCTGTGAATACTAAACAGAAGAAAAGCTTAACCCTTGGTTTTAAAACTGAGGCCTCAGGAGTCATTTTGACCCAAGGGCAGCAGGAAGGTTAACGTTAAAAAAAGATTTTGCTGTGATCCACAGTGATAGACTTCTTAAGAATAACTTGTCAAAATTTTAAAAAGTAAACTTGTTTCAAAGCTGTAAGGAATTGTGGCTTGAACCACGATTGCCAAATTTGGGGAGTGGTGGTGCAGAGGTTATAGAAGGAGGGCCTGCCATAGGAGGGTCGCCGGTTAAACTCCCCAGACAGACTACAGCAAAATGTGAGTGGAAATTGTGCAACAAACACACACCTGCCTCCACGCTCATTTGCCCCACTCTGGGCCCTTGATCAAGGGCCTTAACCCCCACCATCTGCTACCCAGATAGCAGCTCTGCTCCACACAGAGGACTGTGGTAGCTCAGTGGCCTGTGGTTGTGTAAAGAAGGGCATCTGGTATAAAAACAATCACCAAGCTTGGTGCGAATTAGTTTACTGTGGCAATCCCTAAAGAAGGGAGCAGCCGAAAGAAGAAGACTGGCCAAAAGTGTATGTTGTTAATCATCCATACTGTGCAGCTTTAGATATACAAACCGGATTCCAAAAAAGTTGGGACACTAAAATTGTGAATAAAAACTGAATGCAATGATGTGGAGATGGCAAATGTCAATATTTTATTCGTAATATAACATAGATGACAGATCAAAAGTTTAATCTGAGTAAATGTAACATTTTAAAAGAAAAATATGTTGATTCAAAATTTCAGTGTCAACAAATCCCAAAGAAGTTGGGACAAGTAGCAATAAGTAGCTGGAAAAAGAAAATTGAGCAAATAACGAACAGCTGGAAGACCAATCAACACTAATTAGGTCAACTGACAACATGATTGGGTATAAAAAGAGCTTCTCAGAGTGTCAGTGTCTCTCAGAAGCCAAGATGGTAAGAGGATCACCAATTCCACCATTGTTGCGCAGAAAGATAGTGCAGCAATACCAGAATGGTGTTACCCAGCGTAAAATAGCAAAGACTTTTAAGTTATCATCATCAACCGTGCATAACATCATCAAAAGATTCAGAGAATCTGGAACAATCGATGTGCATAAGGGTCAAGGCCGTAAAACTCTACTGGATGCTCGTGATCTCCGGGCCCTTAAACGTCACTGCACCTCAAACAGGAATGCCACTGTCAAGGAAATAACAGAATGGGCTCAGGAATACTTCCAGAAAGCATTGTCAGTGAACACAATCCACCGTGCCATCCACCGTTGCCAGCTGAAACTCTACAGTGCAAAGAGGAAGCCATTTCTAAGCAAGCTCCACAAGCTCAGACGTTTGCACTGGGCCAGGGGTCATTTAAAATGGAGTGTGGCAAAATGGAAGACTGTTCTGTGGTCAGATGAGTCACGATTTGAAGTTCTTTATGGAACACTGGGACACCATGTCATCCGGACCAGAGAGGACAAGGATAGCCCAAGTTGTTATCAACGCTCCATTCAGAAGCCTGCATCACTGATGGTTTGGGGTTGCATGAGCGCTTGTGGCATGGGCAGCATGTCTGGAAAGGCACCATTAATGCAGAGAACTATGTTCAGGTTCTAGAACAACATATGCTCCCATCTAGACGTCATCTCTTTCAGGGAAGACCCTTCATTTTTCAACACGATAATGCCAGACCACTTTCTGCAGCAATCACAACATCATGGCTACGTAGGAGAAGGATCCGGGTACTGAAATGGCCAGCCTGCAGTCCAGATCTTTCACCTATAGAGAACATTTGGTGCATCATAAAGAGGAAGGTGCGACAAAGAAGGCCCAAGACGATGGAACAGTTATGCCCCTTTAGCACCGCCCCTAATAAGCCCCAATTCTGGGCAGCCCGCCACAGAAAGAACCCTTTTGCACCAGCCCTTTAGCTAGTATATTTAGCTGATTTGAGGCTGATTCAGGACCTCTTTTCGTCCCTGCTTCTCTGGTGGGACCGAGCGATCTCAGTTGAGCTGAGTCTGGACCGAAACGTGAATGCAGGACTCTGATTGGTCAGGGGGAGGAGTCACTGGATCTCAGAAAATTTTCACTGAGCTGCCATTTGCCATTTCTCTGGATGCGGAGCAGCGGCTGGATCTATTTTTAAGATTTTAAAAACAATGACAACGCTGTGTTTAATTCTGAAGTCCAGGTGTATTTTGTGGTGACCGACTATAAAATTCGACCAAATAGTGTCACCGCGGAGGATCATACGAGCTGCCGAGCCGTTGAATCCCGTGAGGCCGGACCCCAAGCCCCGGCCTCGCCTGCTCACAAAGGCCGGATTTGAGCCCTGGCAGGCGGAAGGACCGAGATGAAGGGTGGAAACCTTTTTTTTTTTTTTTTACAATTTATGTATAAAATATAAGTTTTGTTAAATCAGTGAAGATTAAAAATAAATAAACAGTGCTGGCTTTATCATGAAATCCTGTTTTCTTTTAGATTTTATTAAATAATCTGTTAATTAAAGTTAATTCAACTGAAAAATTATAAAAAGAAATTTATTGAATCTCTCATATTTCCCTCAAACATATTTAAAGAAGAGCTACAGCCTTTGGTTCAACATTATTCTAACCCACAGATGTACAAATCACAAAACAAGCATTACACTTTAAATTAAAGCTTTAAATCAATGCTAAACTTTAATTCAAAGCTAATTAAAAATAATCTGTATACAAGAAACAAAATCACAATGAGTGCAAATACATCAAATGATGAAGAAAAATATAGAATTTTAAATATAGATATCCTGATGCATGCTCAATAATCCAGGTAGAAAAATCTAAAAAAAAGTTAAGTCTGGTCCTCTGGACATTCAAAAAAAACAAAAACAAACAAAAAAAAAATCTAGAAATGTTTCTTCTTTCATCCAAAAGACTTCAGTCTGAGGAGCTGTATTCAGCTCAGTCTTATATAAATAGCTATGAGCTGAATACAGCTCCTCAGACTTAAGTCTTTCGGATGAAAGACGAACCATTTCTACATTTTTTGTTTGTTTTTTGAACGTCCAGAGGACCAGACTTAACTTTTTTAGATTTAAATATAATGTTTTTGTAGAATCTGGTTCATCAGATTTAATTTAGTTCAGTTTATTTATACAGTGCCAAGTCACAACAGAAGTTGTGTCAGGGCACTGAACTGAAATATTCATATATAAAAATAATAATTTAATATTATTTATCTGAGGAGCAGACTGCTTTGAGTAACTCATCGCAGAACTCTCATTAGCAGGACTTGGATTCTGGACACGCCTCCAGAATCGGTCCTAAAGTGCAGGTGCAAATCCAGGCTGAGTAGGGGTGTGCAGGGCTGAGCAGAGTTGAGGCTGATTAGGGGCAGTGCAAAAGGAGCATTAGAGGCCTGTATTAGACATGAATGGGAGAGCATTCCTATTTCTAAACTTGAGAAACTGGTCTCCTCTGTCCCCAGACATCTGTTGAGTGTTGTAAGAAGAAGGGGGGATGCCACACAGTGGTAAAAATGGACTTGTCCCAACTTTTTTAGGATTTGTTGACGCCATGAAAATTTGGAAACAACAGATTTTTCCTTAAAATGATACATTCTCTCAGTTTAAACTTTTGATCTGTAATTTGTTCTATTCTGAATAAAATATTAGATGTTGGCACCTCCACATCATTGCATTCAGTTTTTATTCACAATTTGTTTAGTGTCCCAACTTTTTTGGGATCCAGTTTGTATATATATTGTCTTTGTTTGTTTTGTTTTATAACCAAAATTGTTCTCTGATAGTTCTTAAGACCGTTTACCAAAAACATGGATAACAAAATGTTTGGAAAAATGCAATTGGAAAAATAAGTTGAATAGGAATTTTTACACCAAAAAAAAAAAAAAAAGGGGGGGGGGGGGGGAGTATAAAAAATATTTTAAAAAAAATTTGAACACCTATACACTTTCAGAATCATTTTTATTTAATTTTTATTTTTGTAATATAGGACCATATGTGGAAAACAAAATTTAAGATTGAGCACAAGACAAAACGGTGTTTTCGTCTTCTTTGTCCTGCAAGCCGGAATGTGCTTGTACGTCTTCGTCATGTCTACATGTCCTAAAGCGCAAGTAGAGCCGTGAGTTCCTGCTTCATGTCGGAAAAACCACACTTTTAGGAATAAACAGCAAACTCGAAGAAGAGCTACGTGACTACGGCCTGCTCTGGAAGCCGGTACCATCACAGACCCTCACTCCTTCATCACGCCCACAGTGGAAGCGCCATAAGCGGCGCGACAGGAAGCAGAAGCGGGGTAAGCGAGGAGGTATCCAAGCTAGGCTAGCAGCTAGCCCACACAAGCCGGACGTCCTATCCATGGTTTTGGCTAACGTACGCTCTTTGGACAATAAATTGGATTATATATGACTACTACGAACAACACAGAAGACTGTGAGAGACTATTGTGTTTTTGTATTCACGGAAACATGGCTTAATAACAACGTTCCAGACCATGCTATTCAGCTCGAGCAGCTAACATGCTACAGAGCGGACAGAGCTCTCAATGAGGGAGGTAAGACCCGTGGCGGGGGCTCTGTGTTTATATCAACAATGCTTGGTGTCGTGATGCTGATGTGGTCAACAAACACTGCTCACTTTTAGTGGAATTTATGGTTATTAAAGGCCGACCATTCTATTTACCGAGGGAATTTACAGCTGTTATAATCGTCGCTGTTAATATACCCCCAAGCTCCAGCAACAAAAACAGAAGTGAGGCACTAAATGAACTGTATCTGCACATCAGTGAGCAGCAGACAGCCCACCCTGGTGCTTTTCTCGTCTTGGCTGGTGATTTTAACCATGCAGATCTAAAAAATGTGTTTCCAAAGACATACAAACACAAGACTTTCCAACAAGAGGAAACAATACACTGGACCAAGTTTACACCACCATGAAAGGAGCCTACAAGGCCCTTCCCCTCCCCCACATCGGCGCCTCTGATCACATCAGTGTTATGCTAATGCCAGCATACAGACCACTGGTTAAAGTCACCAAACCAGTCTGCAAACAGGTACGAGTGTGGCCAGAGAGACCTTCAGAAGCACTTCAAGACTGTTTCGACGCCACAGATTGGAATATGTTCAAAGAAGCTGCTACCAAAAACAACAACACAGATCTTCAAGAGTACTCGGATACTGTATGCTCAAACATCGCCAAGTGTATTGATGATGTAACTGACCTCAAGACCATTGCTGTTCGGGCAAATCAGAAGCTATGGCTGACCGCAGGGGTCTACAGACTCCTGAGAGCCAGAAACGCCACCTTCACAGCAGGAGATCAGGTGGGCCTGAGTTCAGCCAGAAACTTCTTGTCCCGGGGCATCAGAAAGGCCAAGAAGCAGTATTCCAGGAAGATAGCTCATCGCTTCAGTGACAGCAAGGATACACAGAGTCTGTGGCAGGGAATACAGACCATCACAAACTACAAGCCAGCCCCACAAACCTGTGACAGCACAACCACTACACTGAATGAGCTGAATGACTTCTTTGCTCGGTTTGAAGCATGTAACAGCACACCTGTACAGAAACTCTCACCCTCTCCCGATGACCAGGTGCCGACACTGTCCACGAACAGTGTAAGGTGATCATTCATCAAGATCAATGCCCGAAAAGCTTCTGGTCCTGACAACATACCTGGTCGTGTGCTGAAGGACTGTGTAGTGGAACTTGAAGCGGTCTTCACGGATATCTTTAATATCTCGCTGAGTCAGACCATAGTCCCCACCTGTTTCAAAGCCACCCCCATCATCCCTGTCCCAGAGAAGGCATTGCCCTCCTGCCTCAATGACTATCGTCCGGTGGCACTCATCCCCATCCTGATGAAGTGCTTCGAACGGCTAGTCATGAAACACATCAACTCTGTCCTTCCTGCCTCCCTGGATCCCTTCCAGTTTGCATATTGGCCAAATCGTTCGACCGACAACGCCATCTCCTCTGCCCTCCACACAGCCCTCACACATCTGGACACTAAGGACTCTTATGTTAGAATGCTGTTCATTGACTTCAGCTCAGCATTCAACACCATCATCCCCAAGAGCTCATCCTTAAACTGGACAGTCTGGGGCTGAACACCTCATTGTGTAACTGTCTGCTAGATTTCCTGACCGGGAGACCACAGGCAGTACGGGTCGGCAGTAACACATCCAGCACCATCACAGGGAATACTGGAGCTCCAACCCCCATCATGTGCACCTATTACAGGGGTGCCATAGAGTGTCCTGACCAGCTGCATCACGGTGTGGTTCGGTGTATGTACTGCATTCTGCCGCAAGACACTCCAGCACATCGTGAGAGCAGTCGAGAAGATCGTCGGCACCTCCTTCCCCTCACTACATGACTTACACAGTACCCGCCTCACTCGGAAAGCCCTCTGCATGGCGGGTGATCCCACACACCCACTACACAGCGTTTTCAGCCTGCTGCCATCAGGGAGGAGACTGCGGAGTCTCCAGGCTCCAACTAGCAGACTGAGAGACAGCTCTGTTCATCAGGCAGTCGGGATGCTGAACTCTGCCTGCTCTGCCTCCCCTCCATCTTGTACCACCTTAACACCCAAAACTTTCACACATTTCCACAAAAGACAAAAACTTTTTAACACTGAACTCTGCATCATTAAAAATCGGGTTACACACTCAACACACGCTCATGTGCTCATTCAATTTGCACTACTGTTTACATTTGCACTAATGTTCATATTCAAACTACTGTTCATATTCTTACCGATATATATATATATATATATTTACTAGCTTTATTGCATATGTCACTTTACCTACACCAATATCAAGGACTTCATACATGCACTATGTACATTCACTTCATATGCTGCTTTGCCACTCACTACAAATATCAATGTCAGGTCCTTCACTTTATTTCATTTTATTTTTATAGATACACTTTTTAAAATATTTTTATACCACTATAGTACAATTTAAGACAGTATCATGATTTTATTATTTCATTTTATGCTTATGTTTATTAAATGTTGTAATGTTAAATGGTTTTGTTGCACCGGGGTCTGAGAGGAATGTAATTTCAATCCTGTGTATGTCCTGTACACATTGCAGTTTTTGACAATAAAGTGACTTTGACTTGAAGATATGGATAATGCAAAGTTTGCTTATAACAAAAACACAGTGTGTTGTACTGGGAGTGGTTGGGAAATTTAAGAATAAAAAAACACTGGATTGCAATAACTTAAAATATGTTTTGTGTATTTTATATTGTTTTACTGACATAAGGGTTAGGGTTATATGAATTTTTAAAAATCTTATCAATACTTATACATTTTATAAAACGTTAGGCAAAAATAGTATTTTGTGTGTGTGTGTGTATATATATATATATATATATATATATATATATATATATATATATATATATATATATGTGTGTGTGTGTGTATGTATGTATGTATGCGTGTCATGTATGACAATAAAGTCATGCCACTCATCAGGTGTTTGTGGTTATACGCAAAACTAGCCTCGGTTGTTTGCTAACTAGCAAACTATATTTGGTTTGACCAAACCTTCGTGCTGCACATCAGCTACTGTCGTTGACGTTTAAATTGTTCGAACAAAAATGTAGCCGAAACAGCTCCACATACTGAACCTATGATCAGTAAAACCTACGTAAACGAGTGAGGTTTACATTTATGATGAAATAAGATCTATCAGCTGATATTGCCTGATACCATTTTAAGCCGCTGTCAGCCACTTTGTTAGCCACGTAGCATGCTAACAGCTAAACATGTGCGAGTTACCTAGAATTTCTGAAACCTAAGCTAACATTTTGCTGCCCTTGGCATTGCTATTAAACGGTAATTATAATAAAAATACTTACCGCCGCGTGGCATTATGGTAAGGATAAGGATGATACAAAAATAAGCAGGCCGTCTCGAAATATTAGAAAAGTTTAAAGTGCTGACAGAAAAATGGTAAAGTGATTCGTCTCTCCCGCTGTTGGCAACCCCTTGCAATCGCCCGAAACTATTTGCGCATGCGCAAAAAATCTTGTTTGACCAATCAGAGCGTTGGCCTGTGCTGCGAAGCTACCAATCAGGAGACGCATACATGGATTGATGATTTTAGCCATAGATAATGTAGCTGATTGTAGCTAATTATATTGTTCACATTTATAACGCTTCACATTTACTTTATTATGGTTCCACATAAAGACCTCCAGTTTCTGGGAAAACTACCCTGAAGAGCACTGTGCGACAAAATAAACAAATAAAAATTTAAATCTAAATATTTGATCTGAATTGTAAAATATCTTTCACAAGTTAAAATGACTGCATTCATAGAATATCAGTGTATAATCTTATCAAAATGTGCAATATGTTTATTTGCTTAGGGTCATGGTAATTTAATTAGTGTATGTAAGTATGCAGTAAGTGCACATTTATTTTGTTATAAAGAATTGTACAATATGTGAAACGAAAAGCAACATTATATCAACGTACAAGATAAAGGAATGACAATATAATTTTATAAAATCTACAAAACATTTTTATGCTCAATCAAATTTTATTTTAATCTGGAAAAAAAAATCCAGTAAATACACATAAGACAGGATTTACAGTTTGTAGAAAATGGATGTATACAGAACATAAATGCACTTACTATTTAGAATAAAATAAAAATAATTTAACAAATCTAGAATAAACACAAAAAGGAACACAATGTATTTAAACTGAATTCTTATGAGCTTAAAAAATTATCAATACAAAAATAGGTTATTTAATTAAAAGAACATTAATAATAAGAAGCCAGTGGGGAAAAATATGGGTCATTTCTTTCTTTGATGTTGAGTCTTTAGATCATCAACTTCTTTCTCCATCAGGTGAAACTCTACTGTAGCTTCAGTCAGCTTGAAAGGGAAGATTAAATATTGTTATTTAAATGCCAAAAGTAAAACTGCAATTCTGAAAGTTTCAAACTTGTCAACACTCAAAGTTACTGCACATTGGTTCTGAAAGCTTTTCTTCAGTACCTCATAAACCCTTTGTTACTGAGTATTTAGGGACACTAGAATAAAAGCAGTTTAGACCTCACCATGTCCATTAGGACTTCTATCTTCAATTTCAGGAGGTTGTTTTCTTCCTCTAGCTGCACATTTCTTTTCCTGAGCCGCACCATTTCTCTACTAGACATATTTCCACCAGATTCTGAAAAACAAACAAAAAACAAGGACCACATTCAGAAAGAGAAGAGCAAACAAACAAACAGTCTGACTTGGAGTTTTATAAAACCACCATCACCTGTTATCCATTGTCCTTCTTCAAATTTCCAGCTCTGGCCTCCAATGTTCATTGTAGGAGGTCCATACTCAAGACCGAGCTCCACTTCTCTTGTTGATCGATCCAACTAAAACAGAAGCACACCATTGATTCAGGTATTTACTGCGAGCATTGTGTTTCGTTTCTAACAGTCTTAAAATGTTAACATTCTCCAGAGACATGAAAAAGACTTTTTTTTTTACACACCTATGCATTTTTATTGATAATACACTGAAGCTCACCGTATGCAGGCTGGACAGAGATGCAGATTTCCGAGGAGGAATCTTCTTCGGACTGAATGTATTTCCAAACAGCGGCATCTTCAGGGATTTTTTGAGGTCCTTGACAAGAGATGGCACATCTATGAATGACCTGCGAGCGCTGCACTTTGAGTTTACTGTATTGTTGCTAAGCGCTGCTAGCTTAACGGTGCCAAGCTAATCCCATGTAGCTAACTAAAGCTCGTCGTAAAAATGACATATAGCCCACATTTATTACAACTACAGCATGAACATCAGGTAATTAAATAAACGTTTGGCCACTTAAAATATGTAACTAATGTATTTACCTCCATATAGTCTATTTATTTAATGCCCGGACGCGACTGTTGATTATGCTCCAGAACATGGTCCCGAATGCGCATGCGCGGTTATGCTACGTTAGGTTCCAGTTATGCTGCTTATTTTAGGATCACATGCGCCCAGGAAAGTATTAGGTTAAAAGATTTACATTTCAACTAAAATATTTTATTTTCTATTTTATTGAAACTGTTCACTTATTTTTGTCACACACTGACTTTAAGGCGACATAAATTGGTTACCTCTGTTTTGGAATTAAGGAATAGTTAAATATTGTGTGTTGCCACCTTTTAATTTTAAACTTGTCAGCCTAAATAAAAGATTTTTACAAATAAATTTCTAATTACTTCTACCGTATTTGTGTATAATTTTATTTATCTATCATTTATAGTGTATGCTGAAGCACCTAGCCCCAGTGGCCTAATGGATAAGGCACTGGCCTCCTAAGCCAGGGATTGTGGGTTCGAGTCCCATCTGGGGTGGATAACATTTTCCTTTTGGTTGTAGATTAAACGCGTGCTCTGTTTGTTTATTTATTTTAAATAAAACTAACCAGAACTTTAGTGTCTTTATTGCTGCCACTCAATTCAATAATTTATTTGAAATGTATATTTTTTTCTTTTAAAATAGACTACTGTATACGGTATAAAGCGTAGTAGTGTATATAACATAATCAGATATAGATAGATAGACAGATAGTCACATAGAAAATATAATAAAATAACAAACACATAAATATTTACACATAAAACTTTGACCTGAAACTTCTCCCTCCTTTGCAGACAGTTGTTACTCCCAATAATAAAGGACGAGAGGGTTTTATTTCCCTTCAAAACTCCCTAAAACTAATCCATTCAAACCTGATGAAAGACAAGACCTTCTTTTTTGTGTCTTTTCTTCATTTTTCATTCTTTCTTTTTAGCAAACAAGACACAGTTCATAAAAATTTTGTATTACACTCCCAGACCAAAAAAAAGTTAAGCCCCCAGAATAAATAGTACGATTTGAATGTCATGTGGCCAGTGATGGGTATGTAAATGTTTTGTTGTGGTTTTGCAAGAAGCTGAGGTGTCTAGAACCGTGGTGGCGTCATGATCAAAGTGTTATCAGGCAGTTACCAGAGCATTTGACAATCAGTGACAGCAATGACGTTGATGACAGCGGTGGGCCAACTTGCTGCAGCAGATGTGACCCACTGTTAACACAACCTGAAGACAGGAGAAGCTGAAGACAAACAGTGACGCCTTGTGGAAAACTTTGAGTCTGACAGCCGCATTATTTAAACTCCTCCTGGATGACAGAGCTCCTCATCATCTTTAAGATGAGCCCTGCCACCCTATAGGAACCTTCATTCTGTTGCTTGTATTTGGTGCAATCTGTTGTTCTTTTTCATCATAATCTATCAATAACCATTTGTCCCTTAACCAAAGGTGAGAGTTGGAAACTAGCTGACCTGGTAAATCAAGATCTTTACTTTTCACTACAACAGAACGGACCGTTCTTGTGGAGGAGGCCACTGTCTCAAGTGGAGGAGCTCAAGCAGACGTCTTGTGGATACTTGAACTCCTCCGCTTGAGACAAAGACTCATCCCCAGCCTGGAGGAAGGGAATGCTGAATCAGCATCCATACCATTAATGACATTTGACACATTAGTTGATAATATGTTGTTTTGTCACGTTCTAAAATAAAAAGCAGGATATAAAAACGTAAGCGACTGAGCTGAGCACCTTTTGCACTCACACCACAGCTGTTAGTTAATTAGGACGCTGCTTTAACCTGACGCATCATGTTGCTATGGGAGGAAAGCACGACAGGTCTTGTTCAGCTGATTACACGCTCATAAACACCAAGCTGTGGCAAACTCTACATATTCATGAAATAACCTTAGTTACCTGCGCTTTATTTCAGACTATTGTCTGTGCAAGTTTGTTAGGCATGGGAGAAACATTTACAGCGTTTCTTCTCTGATCCAAACCCCTGAGGTGCCTGCATGACTCTGCTTGGTAGCTTCTCTGCATCAGGCTTGATTTATGTAGAAACACTGAATATTGGACTGTGAGGTGTTTCCTGTCGCTAACACGTTTCCCTGCAGCTCATGAGCTACAGGCGTGCTCATCAAGAGCAGCTGCTGCTGAGGGCCTGATGAGCTGAGACTGCATTTAAGCAGAAGACTTCTCACAGCTCTTTGCTTGGGTGGAAGGACTGTGAACATGAAGACTTAGAGCCAGAGGGGTTGACTGATTGACTGATTGACTGATTTATTTATTGATTGATTGATTGATTGAACACAGAAGCAACAAGTTTGATGCGGACAAAGCTTTTGAATTTGGCGTTGAGCATAAGCTTGTTTGCGACTGGGCTGGAATGGCGACTCAGGTTGATGATGATCAGGACACGGACACTAACAAATGGTCTCAGGTGAATGGATGAGGGAGAGGAAAGGGAGGAAACAAACGAGAAAAGAAAAGTTGGGCAGTAAATTCAAAATGCAGATGAGAAGATATCAGTTCAGATGAGGGAAGTGCTGTAGTTTTATAACAAAGATGGTGAGAAGAATTCAGGAAGGAGGATGAAAATGTACAGTTAAGCCCAATAAGCAATGTTGAGGCCAGTGGTAATTTTAGCCTCTTTTTGGGGGTGTTCAAGCACACTTAAATTTTTACTCGGCACCCCTGAAAAATAAAGAAACCATCATAAGGATTTTGTAAGGAAACTCAGTTCTCAGATCTTAGATTCAACAAAATATTTAATAAATATGGAATAAATGATGCCACTCAAACAGACAAGTAAAATCTTTGATTTTTTTTGGCACAGGTCAGATCCTCATCGCCACCTGCCAATCAATCCAGCAGGCACGTCAGCAACTGACCAATCAGTGACCTCAATGCGTCCTGAAGTGAATGCCACTTACCTGCAGGAGCTGCAGCCCAGTTTTCCTCCAACAACATTGTTGGGGTTTTGCATTATGAACGCTTTGCGTCAGAGAGATTTCGTGAAGATTCATCATAAAAAGATGGTTAAACATTGTCAGTGGAGAACATTCAGAAAGTGTTACTCTGAGCGTTCTGAGTGGACTACAGTTTATTCCATTTCAAAAACTAAACAACGTTTGGAAAAATGTAAAAGATGGATAAAGCCATGCGGCCGATCCCATGAGCAGCTGATTACAACAGTTATAAGCAGGAAGTACCACATGTTCATCTGTACGAAGGTAACTGCAGGTAAATCCTCCATTTTCTGTCATAGTTACATTGTATGGTTAATGGTTAAATTAAAGGTGAATGCTTAAAGTTAACATGCTAATGTTTAATGTTTAATGGGAAGGTGCTGAAAGAATGTGCCGATCAGCTCTGTGAGGTGCTGTCTGACATCTTTAACTCCTCACTTACCCTGGCAACAGTTCCCTCCTGTCTGAAGACTGCCACCATCATCCCAGTCCCAACAAGCTCTACAGTGACTGGTCTGAATGACTCTTGGCCAGTAGCCCTCACCCCGATAGTCGCTAAATGCTTCAAAACACTGGTCATGACCCACATCAAAACAACCATCAACATCAACAAGGACCCTCATCAGTATGCATACCACGAGAATCGATCAACAGAGGATGCCATCTCCTCTGTGGTCCACACTGCTCTCAACCACCTGGAACAGAAAGACTCCTACGTCCGTATGCTCTTTGTGGACTTCACGTCTGCCTTCAACACCATGATCCCCCAAACCCTGATGGACAAACTACTCACACTAGGACTAAGCCCCTCCATTTGCAACTGGGTACTAGACTTCTTAACAAACAGACCACAGTCAGTGAGGATCCACAACTTCTCTTCCTCCATCATAACCCTCAGCACTGGCTCTCCTCAGGGATGTGTGCTGAGCCCTCTCCTGTTCACTCTGCTCACGTATGATTGTGCAGCTACCCATCCAGGCTATCACATTGTAAAGTTTGCAGATGATACAGTGGTGGTGGGATGCATCACAAATAACTATGAGTCCAGCTACAGGCAAGAGGTGAAACACCTGGAGAGCTGGTGCAAGGACAATAACCTTCCCATCAATGAATGGGGCGGCTGTGGCTGAGTGGTTAGAGCAGTCGTCCTCCAATGCAAGAGTTGGGGGTTCGAATCCACCAGCAGTCACATGTCGAAGTGTCCCTGGGCAAGACACTGAACCCCTCATAGCCTCTGATGTGTGTCCCATCGGTGTATGAATGTGATCTAAAGCTCTGATTAGTCTCATTAGAATGATTTGTTCCATTAGCTTTGTAGAGATCTAGTAGAGTACTGTATGAATGGGTAAATGAGGCACATATTGTAGTGTAAAGCACTTTGAGTATCTTGAAATAAGATAGAAAGGCGCTATATAAGTACAGTCCATTTACCATTTACCATTTACATCAATGTGAAGAAGAAGGAGATAGCCATGGAATTCAGAAGGAACAAACACACATACCCTCCCCCCACTGAACATAAGAGGATCTGTGGTGGAAGTGGTCTCCAGCTACAAGTACTTGGGTGTACACCTGAATGACAACCTCGGCTGGAGCAACAACACCACCAGCCTGATCAAGAAAACTCATCAGAGACTCTACTTCCTCAGGCAGCTGAGACGACCTGTTCTGGGAAGCTCAGTCCTCACCTCCTTCTACAGGTGTGCAGTGGAGAGCATCCTGTGCTCCAGCATCAAATTGTGGCATGGAGGCTGCACAGCTGCAGAAAGAAAAGCTTTGCAGAGAGTGGTGAAGGCTGCACAGAAGTCTATTGGAGTCAGTCTCCCCACCATCACAGACAGCTACACCTCCAGATGCAGGAAGAGGGCCACCTGCATCTTGAAGGACCCCACTCACCCAGCACACACACTTTATGCCCCTCTCCCCTCAGGAAGGAGGTTGAGGAGCATTTGTATAGAACCACTAGACTGAGGAACAGCTTCTACCCTGAAGCTGTTAGACTCATGAATCTCTAACTAGAATAATCACTGTGAAAAATCACATCATGTTGCTGCTGATCTATTTCATGTTGCTGCTGATCTGTTTCATGTTACTGTGCTCATTCATGCTCACCTGCTCACACAGACTCATGTTCGTGCTGCTGTTCGGCATATTTTGTTTATTGATTTTATGCTATTGTAGTGAGTCACGTAGGTACGTGTCACTTGTTTTATGGCAAATATATGAAATATATATGCATACAATATTCACGAGTTCTTCATTTTTCTGACTGTGTAATGCCGTGCATTGAATTTAACAGAAATGTAACGAGAGACGTCATTACCTTTGACCCATCAAATGAATGGAGTCATTTATTTTCAGAATCAAAGTTTAACATCAAACATTTACATTAATTTGGCAAAATATGAAAATAATAACAGACAGTTTCACAGAAAATGAACTTCAAGTCACTCGGCGGTGATTTGAGGACTTTGCTTCAGATATTTCTAAAATATCTGTACTAGTTTTGTGAGAGAGAGATGAGTTTAAGAGGAAATTGAGATTTATCTTACAGAGGAATATGTGAGGGAATTTAATCTGTTTGACCAGAAATTGCACGCTCCGTCAGATCTCAGCTTTGCCCACAGTACACTTGGTCGAAGAAGAAGTTTTACCTTGTTGACGATCGATCACCTCAGTAAGAATCCTTTTCAACTGATATCAGCGTCTCCGTTGAGAACTGCTAAAATCCTTAGAGAGTCGTGCGTGGTTAGCTCAAACAGAAATTATAATTCCAAACGTCTCTGGATTCTCGTAACTCTGACTCTTCATTGTCAGCAGCTCTAAGACTCTTTCAGATCTTCTCAGACTCCAACTCCAAAACTCTCCATAACTCTAGTTCTCTTCTGAACTCCTTCAGAACTTTTCCATTCTCCATTCCAACTCTCTCTAGACTCATAGAACCGGGAAGTTGTCACATTTTAAATGAGTTTACTTCCGAGTTTACTTCAGAGCTTTCTGATTCGTGGATAGACCAGAAAGAGGAGTGATTTTGTGACGTAAGATGTTATCTAAGCCAAGGTCAGAGGATGAGATTGTTTTAACAACTGACAGAGAGATTATTGCAGGAGAGCAGACTTCGTGGAGTCAACTCTTGGTAATCTTCTGAAAAAGTTTAAACATGACATCTTTCTCGGTAAACATTTTAGTTGACCGAAAACCAACCTTTCACATACTTACGACTTGACTCATTTCAGACAGAAAATCAAGAAATGCATATTCAGGTGATTTCTTCTCTGAATGAGGAATAAAAATCATTACTTACTGTTTATGTAGAATAAAAATGAGTAGTTCTTTTCAACCTGTAAAGCATTGAGTGAACTAACACAATTTGATTATCAAAACATTTGTAAGACAGTAATGATTATAAAGAATTGTCTTTTCTGCTTGATTAATTCAAGAAAGAAAGTCATCAGATGGCCCAGACTTATTCAGATCAATGAAAATAACAGTCTCTGTCCATCTGGTAGATTTGAGGTCAGATAAGGGTCAGACCAGGTTCACTACACTATTAGTGCTTAGTGTACAAGTATTACAGTATTTAGTTGATGTTTTTCTTAGTTCATATCTTACATGTTATTACAGTTTTTCTTTTACATTTTATTGTTGGATGTAACTGGGACCCTGTGTACATAATTACGTTCCACCACATGTACCACATGTGGTGCGAATGACAATAAAGAAACTCTGAATCCGACTTAAAGCTAGTTGTGCTATGTTTTGTGTTTTATACGTAGATATATGTTGCAACTTCTGGTTGTATATGTTTAGTTTTTGTTTGCTATGATCAGAGAGTTCGAGTTAGAGAGGTTTTATTGTCATTTCAGCTGAAATCCAGGATCACGGTGCAACATAGAACATAATGTGCAAAACAATACAACACACAGTGCAGATACACAACAGTACAATAAATACAAACAGACCTATAATAAATGCAAAATACATCTAACCTAATCTAAACATTTCAATCTAAACAAGTGCGGTAATTAAGAGACAAGTCTACAAACACATGTTGATTAGTACATGTGTAGGTGGTACACGACACACACACAGGCAAAAACTTTTTAAATCTGCCTTGTCTAATATCAGTAGGTGTTTGAAAAAGGCTTAAAACACCCATCCTATATACTTTGTTACAATATAGATTAATCAAGAATGACTGTTAGACTTTTACCTGGTTTGGTGTGTGTTATTTAGCACAAAAGTATTCATCCTAAAACGTTACATTTGATTGCGTGATTCACAACAGGAGTAACATTATTCATAATTTTTCTTCTTGTGACATGATTTTTTTTTCGAGATCAGAGTGAAAAGTCATAATATAGCTCACTTTAGATTGCAAACAGCAGAGCTAAAGCCCAAACCGATTTGTTTTGATCACAAGAGAGATTTATACTCCAAGGGTCATCCACGTGAAACCATCTGTTGCCATAGCGACTTGAGGTAGAGACCACACCCAGGGGGTTGCTATGAGACAAAGATCAGAGTAAACAAAAGTATCAAATCTAAAATAAACTTTGTATTATTCCAAAAATATTTAATGAGATATTAGTTTTGAAAACAGGACTGAGAGCTTACAAAAATGGCAACAAGCTTTAATGTGGATTAACGTTATTAAATGTCCACTTTCTTTTCTGCCCTCTCATCTCTGTCACGGCTCAGGTGACAGACTACCAGATGGCTCTCCAGACATTAAGTGATCCATGATGCAGAGGAGGAGACTGTGTCCATTCTGTGACAGTCCTTCAACCTCATGGCTCATTGAACTCTCCCACACACCTTCAGATTTCCTGCTGTCGTCATGAGGTGTCCGTAGAGTTTTAAGCAATGTGCTTTTCATTTGATCCCCAAAACAACCTGAACAGCAGTGAATGCTCAGTGTTCACTGTCCCAAAAATCTGATTTAGCCAGTTAATGATTTTTCTGCATTTGAGCAGGGGCAAACTTTTTTCTAAAAATTTCACAGTGATGAAAATAGGGAATTGGGCTAACAGCAGATTTTAGAGGTTATGGGAATTAACATATCAAATTTAAAGGCAACAGTGCATTGTTGCCATTTTTGGTAATGATGAAGGTCAAGTTCAAGTAGGGTTTTTTTGCCATTTCATCTATGAGGTGGAACGAAATTGTGTAAACAGGGTCCCAGATACACCCAAACTAGCAAAAGTGTAATAAGTAACAGTAAATAAGGATCTAAGATATAAATTAAGATAAACGCTAAACAATAGTGTTGATTATTGAAAAAGGTCAAAGGTTCTTTATTTGTTTGCATTACATGTGGTACATGTGGTGGAACGAAATTGTGTGCACAGGGTCACAGGAAGACATTGTGTATATACATTAATGATTAATAATACTCATTACTAGTACAAGTCATAATCATAGATTAAATATTACGTACAGTATTACATAATTTAAAGTATAAAATTGCTTTTGTTTTTAAAGTTCTTCCGGATGTTTACCTTCCATTCTTGGTGCGCATGCGCACTTGCGCAGCTCGTAGGCGGAGCTTGTTCGGTTGTTAACGGAGCAAAGGAGTCGAGCGGTCAGTCCGGCTCGTTCGCGTGGAGCTCTTCCGTGGCTTTCTGTAAATGGCTACGACCGCAGAGGACCAGCAGGAGCCAGCGGAGCTTTCTGCTCCGTCACTACAGCGCCACAACAGCAACAACAATAATAATAACAACAACAACAAAGACAGCGAGGCGGGAGAGAGCGCGACCTCCGCCACGAACGCTGCGGAACCCGGCGGGACGGCGCCGCAGAGCGTCGGTAACGGCGTCCGCTCGGTCATCACTCCCAACGGCGGGACTAATGGGAAGTGGGTCCGGCTGAACGTCGGCGGAACGGTGTTCCTCACGACGCGGCAGACCCTCCTCAAGGAGCAAACTTCGTTTCTGTACCGGCTGTGCCAGCAGCAGGACCTGCACTCCGACACGGTGAGTCCAGTCCGGACGGGAAAGTTCAGCTCGTTTCACTCACAGGCGACATGTTCTTTATGACAGCAGGAGCTCCGCATGAAAGTTCACTTTGACCTCCTCCTAATGGGACCAAGGTCATGTCCTGTTGGCATTACCACTTTATTTTTAGCATTTATTTATTAATTACATTTATCAACTAGAAGAACATGGAGATCTTTTGAAATGTGTCCATGCAGAAACTATCTGAAATCCCAACATATATCCACTTTGTTTTATGAAGACTAATAGTAAAATCTGAGGAGTGCTCTTCAGCAAAACGCCTAATTGTTATACAGGACATGTATGAGGACAGCAGGACATGTATGAGGACAGCAGGACATGTATGATGACAGCAGGACAGTGGTGAGATGTGCAGTAGGAGTGACAGATAGCTTCAAGGTGGAGGAGGGAGTGCATCAAGGATCAGCTCTGAGCCCCTTCTTGTTTGCTCTGGTGATGGACCGACTAACAGATGGTGGTGTTTGCAGATGACATTGTGATCTGTGGTGAGAACAGGGTGGAAGAGAACTTGGAGAGGTGGAGGTATGCACTTGAAAAAAAGAGGAAGAGGAATGAAAGTCAGTCGTAGTAAGACAGAGTACATGTGTGTGAATGAGAGGGAGGCTGGTGGAACAGTGAGGCTACAAGGAGCAGAGGTCACAAAGGTGCAGGACTTCAAGTACTTGGGGTCCACTGTCCAGGAAAATGGGGAGTGTGGTAAAGAGGTGAAAAGCAGAGTCCAGGCAGGATGGAGTGATGGAGAAAAGTTTCAGAAGTGATTTGAGACAAAAGGGTGTCAGCAAAGGTCAAAGAAAACGTTTACAGGACAGTGGTGAGACCATCTATGTTGTATGGTCTGGAGACAGAGACATGGACAAAAAGACAGGAGAAACAACTGGAAGTAGCAGAAATGAAGATGTTGAGGTTCTCCTTAGGAGTGACAAGGATGGAGAAGATTAGGAATGAGATCATCAGAGGTACAGCACAGGTTGAACAACTGGGAGATAAAGTTAGAGACCAGACCAAGATGGTTTGGAAACTTTGGACATGTCCAGAGGAGGGACAGTGGGTGTATTGGTAGAATGATGTTAGAAATGCAACTTCCAGGAAAAAGACAAAGAGGAGATGTATGGATGCAGTTAGAGAGGACATGAAGGTAGTTGGAGTGAGGACAGAGTGAGATGGAGGATGATTCTGCTGTGGAGACCCTGAAGAGGGAAAAGAAGAACAAGTTTACATAAGTGAGGAGAGCCAGGATCAAAAGATGGCGTCACCATGGTAACCACACAGACCCTGACAGCACTTTTAATAAGACATGCAGACAGAAGCACAGACTAGGAGGAAGCCTTAAACAAACATCACTTTGTGAAAATAAATACACATCAAAATGTCACTACAGTCACATGACCTGTTTTATGTTTCTTTTATGAAATGTCTATAGAGCTCTGAGGAGTAATGGCTTTTCTCACTCATTTCACCAAAATCCCAGTGTTTTGTCTTGGTGTGATGTGTGTAGAAATTCTTTGCAGTGTTTTTTATCCACGCTATACGATGTCCTACTAAAAGTCTCACAACTGATGTAACAATCCATAAAAAAAATTGTGAAGAAAACCAAAGAATAACAGCTAAACAGTATTAAAGTTGCTTTAATGCCTATGCATTAGTATTCTTAAAGATTTAAGTTTATAGCGTATATTTTACAATTCTTGTAAATATAATTCCTGTAAAACACCATATTTTTGTAATGACTCTTGTGACTAAAACATAGGATTTTCCCTTTTCTTTACAATAATCCTATTATGTGCCAGATGTCTTTCACACATAGGCGTCACATTAACGGTTTGTGAAGGGGACGTGTCCCCCTCACATTTAAAAATTATTCATTTGGACCCCCCGCGCACACACATTTACCATGAAATATTGTTCACCTAGCGCTGTTTCCATTGCTACGTAATCCATTTCACTGGATTAACAGGAGCATACTCAAACCACTATAATCCACTCTGGGTTTTCCTGGTTACCTACAACAACTATCATAATGTCAAACTCAAAAGCTGCGAGCCAAATCTGGTCCCCCAAGATAATTTAAATGTAAAATATTGGATGTCTTCTCATTTTTTTTTAAAACAAAGGGTAAATCATCATTTAGTATAGACTTCTCTTGCCAGCTGGCTAACTTTGAAGCCAGAAAGAAGGTTGGCTCATTCTGTCATTACTGATTTTCATGTGGAAAGAGTAGCAGAACGTCAAGTGAGGCAGATCAAACACTTGTTTTGAACCTGCAACCAAGAAAATATGTCAAGTTTCTGACTTGATTTAATGTATTAGCTGAAAGTGGCCCATGCCTCAGACAAAGTATTTAAATTTTGGCTCCTTTTGGTAACTGAGTTTGACACCCCTAGGTCATGTGCCTTGACAGCGCGCTCATCTCTTTGGGGGTTTTTTGTGGACGGGGCTGAGGGAGGAGGGGGAGACACCTCTGTTTTGCGCAATATCTTAACACTATGTTAGTGTCAGCATTTGTTGACTGGGGTGGGGTGTTAGGATGTGTGAGAGAAGCGGAGAATACTCTATTCACACAAGGAGAGCTGTTGGTCAGGCTACTTCTTGGTGTGCCACGCTCTTAAGCTGAGGCTGAAAGGAAGTTTTAAAGCTTCAAGAAGGCTTAAAACATGGCTTCACTCCTCCATGAAACGGCAACGTTTGAATAATGTAGCTGTCTGCCACATACAACAAGCTAGACTTGATCAGGTAGACATGAGAGAGATTTGCCAGTCTTTTGTCTGTAAATGACAGAAGGCAGCACATTTTTGGAAGCTTTGTCTAATCTGAGCAGGAAGAACTTGTTTTGTCTGGTCTTTGCTCTAAGATTCAGTCCAGATTAAGTCCACCTGATAGTGTTATAGAGAACACCTTAAAGGAGAAATATCATGTTAGAGAGAAAGAACCCAAGTAACAAGTTTTCTGGAAAATTGGTCAAATCAGTGATTGGGAAGGAACAGCGGAAAGGAAATGTTAAGATATTTTTGTACTGGTCTTATGGTTTTGATCTGCTCAGAGACGGGATTATAATGAAATTATGGTCCGGTTCTGACTGAGTTAAACTGGGTCAGCAACTCTAAAGCCCCTTATCCACAGGTCTGGTTCTTGTTGTAGCCTGTTGTGTCCGGTTCTAGTGGGACCTCTATTTTTGTGTCTCACCTTTGCCTATAGTTCCCGTTTAGTGGGCGGATTGTTCACCTCTAGTGGGCGGATTGTTCACCTCTAGTGGGCGTATTGTTCACCTCTAGTGGGCGGATTATTAATATCAATGCACCTTACCAGCTGGTGGCGGTAGTGCTACATTAAGCTCTTTTCTAAGCACCACTAACATGCATTAGAAGAAGAGCTGGAAAACAACACACAACCAAAATGGATGACCTCCGTGAACTTGGAGCAGAACCAGCCGCACAGCCTGTCCTGGTCGCTGTCCCGCAAGATGGAGAGCAGGGCCGAGGTGTCAGAGATGCTCTGATGGAGTACCTCATGAGCTGTAACTTATCCTAATTCCACCCCTTAATCTTTTTTTACCTCCCCAGCCTTCCTTAGATACAAGTGAACGTTAAAGTGTTGATTTGAAAATAAACATGGATTAATAATTATTCTTGTTTTTTTAATGTACAGACATGCCTTATTACCAGGTTCGTGTAAAAATGGCAAAACAAACACTGCTGCTGTGCTTCTATCACATATGCTGCGTTTTTTACTGGCTGTAGTTTTAGAAAAACTGTATACTCTTTAATTTTTGTTTTTAACAAAGAACCAAAACCTACAACAAGAACTTTATATTTGTTTATGCATATATACATTAATCTATTTTAATATATATATATATATATATATATATATATATATATATGTCTTCAGCCAGAGACTTCTTCAGATCCCTTGTAAGACAGATGCTACAAGAGATCCTTCCTGCCCACAGCATCAGCATCTAGAACAACTCTTTAATGAAACCAGGATGATGAATTACATTTAATTTCCCTCTGGGATTAATAGTCTTTTTGTAATTTGATTTTTATATATGTATGTATGTATGTATATATATATATATATATATATATATATATATATATTTATTACATACATTACATAATAACCTACATTTGATTTGATATTTAACAACTCTTTCAGAGTTTATGCTTACCACGCAGCTCTTTAAATTAAGCTGTCGCAAATTATCTTCATGATTGAAGTGCTGTTAAGTAATATTAAGTTAGTGCTCCTTTGTACCACAGTGAAAGTCGTGGAGAGAATTTTTGACCTTGGGTGAAAAAGATGCAGAAGCTGCTAGATCCACAAGATGGACATCATGGCTGAGGTGTTTGACATGCAATGACTGAAAACCTCCAGCAAGCTTACAGAACACCACAGCTTTATAACTTTAATCCCAGATTCCTTTTTTCATTGAATTGTGAGTGCTCCTCGGATGATTAGCGAAACGTCTTCAGTTTTAAAAAAAGTCCTGTGGTTTTGTTTTTATATTTTTTGGGGGGGATTTGCCGTGTCAAGGATAACTGAGAATCTTCACCAGCATTGTTACAGGTAAAAAAACAATTACTTCACTTATCCTACACTATTGACGTAAAAAAACACTGTAAGCACTTCACTTTTGATGATCAGATGGAAGCTCAAGACTTGAAAATGTTTCTTTTATTAGAAATAAAGACCTGTACAAAAAAAACAATTATACACTAATTATATATGCAACCTTAACAAGCTACATGTTTGGCTATTTGTGGGCTTACCTTGCAGGATCTACATTTCTATAGATAACTATGATCTACTCTAAATATTTTTAAACATGTCTGTTTGCCATGGAACGGGCAATGGATTCCAGCACCCCAAGGAGTGCCTGACTGAAAGCAACACTCTGTTCAGCCTCCTGCCATCGCTGTGCTGCTTCCTCTCTGCGAACATCTGCTTCCTCTCTCCTC